GGCTCCTGAGTATATCTACCCGAATCCGAAACGCGGCCTGAACTGCGTAAACATTCTCGGAGGGAGGCAGCCCAGCCCCACAACCGACTCAATGAGGTTCTATCGGGAGAATACCCTCATGAACGACAACATCATGGAGTGCTGTCGTATTTATGGGGCGTCTTGGGCTGCAAGTGCTGTATACATTGATGACCATACCAGTAAGTATTCACACATAGTGGACCGCTACTGCTGCATACCCAAGCAGTGAATGCTGAGCACTAGCAAAAATCGCTGTTGCGTCGGTTCAATGCCCAGAACCCCTGGAAAGCTTTCTTGGCTGTGCGTTCGATGGATTAGTCTTGGGGTTGGGGTTTCGAGGTTTAGGGTGCTTCGATTCATAGGTACAAGTTCGGGCCCGTAACTAGTGCAAGACAGTGGATGCTTGAGGTGTGGGGCTTGATGATTATTGGGTCGAGCACGGACACGAGGGAGATGGTTCGACATGGTTTTGTTAGCTTGCACGCATCGCATATCGATATTATGCTAGCCTCATGTGCGCCAAAGCTTTTGAAGGGCGCTTTGGGCAGGTTTTCCGGTGTTTTTTTATACCCTAGACCCTAAACCCTACACCCTAAACCTATATCCTAAAGCCTAAACCCTAAGCCCTAATAGGGTTTGGAACGATTTGGTTTTGGCCCTGCTGGCATTTCGAGTCGTCCGATGATACCACTGATGGCCGAAATCCTGCATGACCCCATGTACCTAAACTGTTGGAGTTATGGTACGTGCTATACTATGTTTTTGTCTATGGTGGGGCTCAGGTCAAGAAGCTGGTCTCGTGCCTGTCCACATGCATCCTGGCGAATAGCCTTGGCTTGAGCACAGCAGCATAAAAGCTTGATCTGCGCAAAGTGTCACTGCTTGAAGTTGCAAAAGCCCCAAACCAAAAACCGTGTTCTGATGCTTAGCATGAGATTAGCTTAGAGGAATGCCGGCAAGCGGAACCGATGGAAGCTAACCAACGGCAAGATAGGCAAGATGTTTTGCGCTTTCTTACAGAGGCCTCAGGCCCACAGACCTAAAGTTTGTTGGGTTTACATGCAGGATCAGGGGACGTAGTAAGTAAGGTTATAAGTATCCTAATTGGGGTTATAAGTCGTTAGACGTTGTCGGTATAGCTAATTGACTTATAACCCTAGATACCGAGGCCCATGATCCTTTAAGTAGGGCTCAAGGTTTCCAAAGCCTTCAGCCCATCCCAAACGCATCAGATGATGATCCTGGGCCCTCGTAACACCCTGCTGCGGCTAGACTACTTTGAGTATCGGGAGACTTAGTAAGTAAGGTTGTAAGTACCTTAGTTAAGGTTATAAGTATAGTTATAAGTGCACAGCCTACTTCAGGTAGCAATCGCAGTGGTAGTGGCGCCTTCCGCTAATTATAGAACCGATATGTAATTATAAGTAAAGTTACTTTTATTTGTAGCCGTGATCCTTGAAGTACAGCCGTCTTGGTAAAAAAACACGCTATGCAGCTGAAAGCCCCGAGAAGCCTTGGCAACTGAGGCATATTTCCAGACAAGACGACCTATCCGATAGATGTGGCTCGGCTAATCCCTAAGCCCTCAACCCCTAAAACCCTAAACTCTAAATCCCTAAGCCATCAACCCTAAACCTTACATCCTTAAAACATCATGTCTAAACCCTAGGGAGGTAACTTCGTCTTAGGGCTGATTACGAGGGCTTGTGCTTCGGCCTTTCGCAGTGTTAGCCGATTAGGTTTCTCGGGTTCTGGGTCTAGGATTTGGAGTTTTGGTTTGTGGGTTCAGGCTTTGGGAGAGGGGGTTTTGGCATTTTGGGGCTTGAGGGGTTAGGGCTTTGAGGGGAATGTCTGGAACTTGGGGCTTGGGTCGTAGTGTTTCCGGGTTTTGAGGCTGAGGGTTTATACGGTGTGTTTGCGACATGGATGTACCGCTTGGCCCTAAGCCCTAAACCAGGACTAGGTGTTTGCAGTGTGTGGGGTTTGAACGGCATAACTCCGGGTTTATGTCCTGTGGGTCAGAACTGTCGGCACAGGGCTCACGTAGGCTTAGCATTGCCATTTGGTGTGCACGTGTTCTCTGTTTAGCAGCTCCAGTCAACATGATAAAACTAAAGTCCTTTTAGTAATTGACGAAAATAGTCCCCATGGTTGCTTATACTCAAAACGAACCGTCTAGCCGACACCCAGCCATAAACTCCAACACTATAGAAGCCTTATAGTTGCCAGTACTATTCTGGTGCTCCTGGGCATATTTATAGTATAATAATCCTCCTCCAACACCTTTGTCTCCTTATGCCCAGAGTACGCTTTTGTTCCCTTGTTACTGTTCAGGTTCCCTTGCAACACCCTTTATAACCAAAAGGGCTCCCTTTTTATTCCTAGGTAGACGCCTTTTTTCTTTCCCTGGCATCCCCACTCTTATCCGTAATCTCCAGAGCCCTCGGTTCGGCCGGTATCTTCTGTAGAGCTCGGACCAGAATCTCAGCACCTTTTTGGGTTTAGGGTTTAGGTTCAGGGTTTAGGGTTTAGAGTTTAGTGTTTAGGGTTTAGTCGTTAGGGTTTAGGGTTTAGGTTTAGTCTTTCAGCCTTGTGGAGAGTAGAATGCATCCCAAACCTCATTGTGCAACAAGCAACCCTGAAGAACCAGAACAAGAAGGATGCACGGGCAGCCTTACCTTTGGTTAGTAGGGAATGGAGGTATGGGGGACAATTATAACTACTATTACCACCATTCTTCCATTCCCTACTAACCAAAGGTAAGTAGCCTGGCATCCGAGGACTTACAGGACCATGGGACTTAGTAACTAGGGCTATAAGTACGGTAACTATTCGTATAAGTAAAGGACCATGGGACTTAGTAACTAGGGCTATAAGTACGGTAACTATACGTATAAGTGAAGGACCATGGGACTTAGTAACTAGGGCTATAAGTACGGTAACTATACGTATAAGTACTTTTAACCCAATTAAGAGACTTGTAGCCCAACTTACTAAGTCCCCTGATCCCCAAGTAGCCTGGCATCCGAGGAGACCATGTTGCATAATGGTCCGCCGCACAACTCCAACCTGGGCTATTCCATGGCGAAGCGTTCCTGAGCTGCCAATGCCTTCGAAGTTGGTTCTGGGGGTTTCTTATGAACTGTCACAGGGTGTACGGTTTAGGGAGCTTGTGCAGCTCTGCTTCGGTTGTCTGCGACGGAAAATAAGCCACCCCGAGCGAAGCAAGTTTGACCAGGTAGTGGGCATGAGAGAATCACGTTGGAACCGTCAGGACTGTTAGGGTTCTATGCAACAAACAGAAGCTGAATAAGGGGATCCACTGAACAGTCTTAAGTCGAGGCAACCAAGAGCCATGTGTGGCAGACCTAGAAGCTGGAAGAGAAGTCGGAGCCGCGGCTCATGGCTTCACAGAAGAACCTGCTTTGTGAACACCTCCAACTGCCAGCAGAATCCAGTTAGAGAAGCCTGCCACAACGGAGATACTTGCTGGCAAAGGCTGTCTATACTATAGAACTCCTGAGTGAGTACCTCGGCAGGCTTCACTAGATAGTTGTTGAATCAGAAGGACTGCTAGGTACGGGGATCTGATACTGACAACGAAGCGCAGCTATGGAAAAAGTGGTACCGGGCACTGCAGCAGCTGTGCCATCAACGTGGGCTGGTGTGCACATGTGGGTGGTTGTCAAAATTAGGGTCCCTGTTAGAGTACGGCACCTATTAAGGGTACCCAAAAAGGGACCGTAATTTTGACAACCATCCATGTAGACCCTCGTTCCGACTTCGGGGCGCTGTTTCTTTTGCAACGCTCCCTTATCTCCGGCTTTAGTTGAGGTATGGTAGACACCATGAACCACTGCTACCACGAGCAGTATGGCGACGCTCGGCATGCATCCTTGTTGTCATTCTTGTTATCCCAATGGCTCTATGTACTCAAATTAGAGTATACACTAGGCCTTAAAAGGGGTGCCTGCATAGGTATGTTACAGCTTAAGTATATACTATATAGGTACATGGAGCTGAGGGTATGCCGACTCATACCCCTTGAAGTTTCCAGTCTGGGGGAGTTTCACAGTCTCACACTTTACCCGGCTAAACGGCACAGCTCCCCTTCGGAGCGGCTAAGAGCAGTACTTCTTGAGATCCCGTGCATCAAAGCCGTGTCGTCCCGGGCATGTCTTGAATTTGCATCGATAGGTGGACCCAAATGTAGTACCCTAAATAGTAGGATCCTTATTCTAAGGACCCCTAAATGAGGTACTATAAATCACTTGGGCACGGGCGTCGTAGCAGTCCCCTATTATAGTTGTGGTAGAAGAAACCCCCAAACCCTGCTCCGCTTGTTCAGGCCCTTGTATTACAAGGTAGGGCTTTGGGACATTTTATATTTCCCCCTATTGGGCTTAAGAGGATCTTATTTACTAATATTTTTCAAAAGCTTTAAAGGCCCCACCCGATTAGATTCCGTGTCTAGGGCTTGGGACGCCCTGATTTGCTGCTAAGCCGTCGCGAGGTTCAGTTCACGTCGCTCATTCCGACCAATGTTTACGGCCCACACGACAACTTCAACATTGAAGATGGCCATGTCATTCCTGGCCTGATCCACAAGTGCGGCTTAGCTTCCACTTCCGGGGAGGTCAAGGGTTCCAACTACCTCTACACCCGAAAGCCCCCCCCAAAAACCCAAGTGCCGAAACCCAAACGCACGAGCTAAAAGCCCCAAAACCTCAAACCCGACATTCCCTGCGGTTTCCGGCCATTGCTCGTTCTTTCCTCTTTGGCTTTGGAGTGCCGCTGTTTGGTGAGAGGATCCAGAGCACGAAGAGTTGTCCGGGGCTTTGGAGCGCAATTTTGAACATGGCTCCTTAATGTTAGGATCCGTATCTATAATAAGAGATCTTACAAGTTTAGACGACAATCCTAGGCTCCTAGGCCCTTCCTTCCCAACCAGAGATCTTCAGATGTCACCTACATACACGCCTGAATGATTACCAACACCCCTCTAAGGCTCATATACTAAAAACAACGCACCAAAGTCTCATTCTAACGGATGAGGCCTCGATGTCAAGCCCTCAGTGTTGAAATCCTGCAATCCGGAAACCTGCTATTTCTTGTGAGGCTACCTTGCGAAGCAGCAGAACAAGGATATGGTCCTTTGGGGTCGCCCGTCTCTGTATGCCCCGTTGGGGCTTTAGGTCTTAGGGTACTAACCGGTAGCATCGAGCAAGAGTGCTGGCAGTGGGCGTGGTGGTAGTAGCAGTAGTCGTAGCAGTCGTCGTCGTAGTAGTAGCAGTAGTAGCAGTAGTAGTCGTAGTAGTAGCAGCAGCAGCAGTAGTAGTAGTAGTAGTAGTAGTAGTGGTGGAAGTGCAGTAGTAGGAGTAGCAGTAGCAGTAGGAGAAGGAAGAGGAGGCGGAGGAGGAGGAGGAGGAGGAGGAGGAGGAGGAGGAGGAGGAGGCATCGTTACATTCATAGTAGACGTACGGTAGAAGTAGCTGGTAAACGTTACACGAACGGCAAAACCCACATCATCATGTTCCCAGTCGCAGGTTGTGCTGTTGTCGGGTTCCCCAGAATGTACGGATTTCGAAGGCTTCCAGGTCCAGGACAGTCTTGGGCTCTATACTTGCATGTGCTTATAAGGAAGAGTGGAAGAAGGAATAGAAGAACCACTATAAGGTAGAAGGACTGCAAACTGAATCCGGTCTCCCGTCCTGCCCGAAGAATCATTAACTAAATTAGGGCTCTTTTCCACGCATCTGGGTGCCTCTTCGAAAGGCAGTGCGAGATTCAGGATGCATGTGAGGGGACCGTAGTTGAAAGCAACTGCAAGGGTTTAGGGTGGTAAGCGTTGTGTGCCACGCAATTGACAAGCAATGTAGTTTTCGAACACAATTACCTTTCCAGCCATTCACCAGCCCTCACACAATCCCGACACCACTCGGCTTGAGGAAGGGCTTCTTCCTTGCCCATGATTTCTACGTCTATAGTAACAGTAATAATCTGTAGTTATATCAGTATACAGCTCCTAAGCTCAATCGCCAGGCAGTGGAACGCCCATGAGGCAGTTTATTTTCTCCGAGGACCTGGCTAGACTTACAGCTGCTGGGCACGGAGGGTGTTTAGCAGCAGTAGCAATGATCATGAATACTAACAATACTAGTCATAAATCGTAGTCATGATAATGGTCATATGTACTAGCAATATCTATACAAATACCAGTTACCAGTAGTCGTCAACGAAAGCCGAAAGCTCTTGAGTCATTCTCAAGTGTTTTTTTTGTGCTTGGGGATCTGGGGTGTCAGGTGGGTTTAGCGGTTGGGGCCACGGGTTTGGGGTTCCGAATGCAGTCTACTGCTGCTTCTGCAGCTTTTGAGTGCAGTGTAGGTTATTTTGTTCGGGGTTTAGGGTTCAGGGTTTAGGTTTTAGGGTTATTGTCGTTTTTCTGAGATCTTTGGCTACTGTTGTTGCCCTCACCCTTGGCAGTCAGGTGCCGTAGGTTTTCCGTGCATGAAGTGTTGGTCGTCCAGGGCTTTCGGCGGAGAGGCCATTGAACTGTACGCATGGGAGACCCTGCCATATATGATCCCGGTTCGGCCGGCCCCCACCTTCCCCCCCCCGCCAATGGTTCCTCCTCCCCCCCCCCCTGTGTGTGGTGTGGTTGTGGTTGCTTCCCCCTCCCTGTGGTGTGGTGTGGTTCGGGAGTGGGTCTGCTTAGGCTGGTTACCCCACTCCCCCCTGTGCTGTGGTGTGGTTTGGGTTTCCTGCGTGGGTCTGCTTGGCGTGTGAGCCCTCGTGTGGAAAAAGCTTGCATTGCACAGTCACACACAGATTCGGCTTAGGGAGCGTGGGGGGGGGGGGGATACCATTGGGGGGGGGGGTCGGTGAACCGAGAACCGGGACCCTTTGTACTGCTACTGTTGCTGCTTCTTGTGTACTACTACCACCACTACGACGACGGCTACGACGACGACTACTACTACTCCTGTAGCTGGTGCTAGTGCTCCTCCTGCTCCTCGCCCTCCGCCGACGACGACCATTGCTGCTGCTGCAGCACCTGCTGCTGCCACTGCTAACACAGCCGCTGTTGCTACTTCTGCGGCTTCTGCTGCCGTCTCAGCTTAAGTAAGAAGAAGACCACGCAAAATTGTGTAACTACTCTTGTCATTGTGTGCGCGATTCTTTCAGCGGCTCATCCGTACCATCTATGCAACGACGTGAAAAATCTCCTGCTAACACCTTGAAGACCACACGGCAAGTGGCCGACAGCACTGCAGCTGTCAGGTTTGGGTCCTGCGAGAGTACAAGGAAATCGAGCCCATCATCCTCAGTGTGGGCGAAGAGGACGAGGCAACTTTCAAGATACAGGTAGTTGAAGGTCTGAGAGTCTTGGGTTTCAAGGGACATTGGATCGAAGTATGTAGTCAAGACTTGCTCACAAGAGGCTGCAGCTGATGACGACGAACCAGGAAAGCACACTGGGTTTAGGGGTTCAGGGTTAGGGGTTCAGGGGTTTAGGGGTTTAGGGTTTAGGATTTAGGGGTTTGGGGTTTTCAGTTCCTGTCTTCGGACAGGTATCCATTGCCGACGTGGCAAAGATGATTTGCGAGGCCGGATGGGTCATGTGAGCTGTTGCAAGCACCGTCTTCGTTTTGAGACTTCCTGTGAATGTGGAGTTGCGGCGGCGAGTCAAAATCTCAAAGCCCCAGAACATTTTTGCAGATTCCGGCCCCGAATTCTCCTTCCCGGGCTTTGCTCCTGTGACAGCTTCTGATTTCACCTATCTCTCGATGCAGCTACAAGCTTTAAGCCCTACTGTAGGGGCCTTAATAGTTACTTATACTCTGTTGGGGAGCTCCTTCTTATATTTATAATATGATATACGTCAATCCCTATACCAACTGTGAAGGCCCCCCACATCAGGAACATGATAAGCGCAAAGCTGGCACCAGGCGATGGACTTCAAGGGGAACCTCATCCACGACACTACGAAAGCCGACGGGCAGTTTCTTGCCAAGCTGAGTGAAACCCTCAACCCTTAAACCCCTGAACCACAAAAATCAACCCCTAAACCCTAAAACCCCAAAACCCAAAACCATAAATTTGTGAGGCGTGCATCTGTTGTTTGCCGAACAGCCTTCGGCTCGAGATTTCGACACAAAGGGTGATATGTCCTTGCCCGGCTGGTGTGTGAAGCGGCTGCTTGTGATGTCGCAAACTTGTCCTGCCAGGCATGTCACTGAGACTGTTTCCAAAGCGGGACAATATACACAATAATTATTACAGCCAGTAGAAATTGCAAACAGCCCTGACGAGAAAAAGACTAGCAGCGGCAAGTAACACAATTGAGTATTTGGTGCGGCTGTAGAAGTGCGCTCTACATTCCAATTTGAAACCCTTATACCGCTAACCCCTGTAGCCCTCTTAGCAGCTGTTAGATGCCTGGCCCCGCCCCCCCCCCCCCGCCCCCCAGAAAATCAAGGCTGTAAACATAGGGGGCCTAAATGATTACCAGTACTATTTTGGGGGTTTCTTATTATAAAAACAATGGTATATGAGGCCCAAAAACCCTATTCTAATTAGTAAGGCCCCTATAGTAAGCCTTCGAATTCTGCCTCTGAAGGTTTAAGAAGACAGCTGCGAACACGAAGTTGCGGTCCTACAAGCCGGACTACAAATTCAAACCGACTCTTGGTGTGTGGGGCGCAGTAGGGTTTAGGGCTTAGGTGTTCGGAAGGTTTATCTTTGTTCATTGGTTTATCGATTGCCGTACTTCTGGTCTCGTCGGCGAAGTCAGACTATTGCGAACAGAAACCCGAACCAATGAACAGTCAAGAGAAAGGAGGGCAGCGGAGAGGCAGGGCAGGACATGTGGTATGCTAGCCCCAAAGGGTCCAAGTAATGGTATAGTATACACTCTGGGGGCCAAAATACCTACTATGATGGTACTTGGACCCTGTGGGAGCAATGAAGGTTTTCAGATGTTTCATGATGTGGCAGGCCAGTCTCCAGAGCTACTAGGCAATGCCACCCTGCATAATGAATATTTATACACGCAGTCGCTGTATGCATGCACGCACGCAGGCATGCAGGTGTACATACATACATAAGTACTTCTTGCTCATGCTTGCTTGCATCTAGCATCACATGCCCTGCCTTTAAAGGTTTAGGGAGTTTAGGATCTCTGGATTCCTTGATTGCATCCTAAAAAACTACACCCTAAACCCTAAAACCCCAGACCCTAAACTTAACGTTTGTTCTTCCCTTTGAGCCCTTTAAGCCCCCCCTTTGAAGCTCCCCTTGAAGCCCCCTTTAAGACCCCCTTTGAAGCCCCCTTGAAGCCCCTTAAAGCCCCTTAGTGAGGCCCTGCAGGGCCTGGTACCGTCGGCTCTTAGCACACGGGAGGTCTTCGACTCCAGAGCAGGGATCCCGGAGTAGCAGGGCGCCAACCGAAGCGGCTCAGACAGTCCCAAACCAGGGTTTAGGGTTTAGGGGTTTGGGGTTTAGGGTTTAGGGGTTTAGTAGGGTAGTCCCAAACGATGGAAGTACGAGTGCAGCGGATGTTTCTCTGCCTTCAAAGTGTTCAGAGTATATGACTAATTAACTATATTGGGACTCAGAACCTTTTGGGGAAATCTGATCTAAATGCTCAACCTGGATTCTGCACGGCTGCATCATCCTGAGGATCGCGGAAGGCATCAAAGAAGCTGTCGTGCCTTGCCGAACGACTAGAAAACCCTATGGGTACTGTTGCATGAGGTTCAGTCTCGCTGTATCAGTATATTGGATACAGTTACAATATATATATATATATATATATATATGTAAATAGATATTGACATGTTGTTCTATCCAGTTTTATGCAGGTGCAGACGTTCATACATACATACGTACATACGGACAGACAGACCGAGATACATATCCATATGTATATGTTAGATATAGACCAGAAGACTGCATATAGCATAATGCTTAAAGTGTTTCAAAACGGTTTAAAGCAATGACGTGGGTTATGCTCTCCAGTGGCTCCTCTTACCTCTTAGATGTTGATCCATGGTGTGGCTGATGTGACGTCGTGTTATGGTACCCCAAGGCTCCATACATATTGGGTTACTGGGTTACAGGTTATCTGGCCAGTAGCCTACTAGTTAAGTAGCTGGAGCCATGCTGTCCTGTGGTACTCTATGCTTTGTTCTGCCATTCTGGGCTATGTATGGGCACGTTATGCGATGCCCTGTCATGCCATGTTGTGCTATGATATTCCACTTTATAATCGGTTGCATTACGCTCTTGATTGTGCTGTATTGTGTTCTGCCATGCTTCGCTATGATATGACATGTTGTGCTGTGGCATGCTGAGGCATGTGGTGCTGTGTCAAATTGTGTTGTGCTTTGTCAAGCGGAGTATGTTTTGAAAACAGTTTTCACTGCATCATTTTACAGTGCGCAGAGCTGATGTAGTTCCCGTTGTATATGGAGCCAAGCAGGATTTTCTACAACATGAGCTTGATATGAGTTTCAGCAGGCGGAAGTGACGCGGCCCATGACTTCTGTCTTTTCCGATGAGAAGCCTTGAAGTGTAGAATCCTCGTGCAGCACGAAGCCCAAAATCCCAGACTTTCGGCGCCATGATCCAAGGATTGGTTTGTGGCCAACTACGACACTGCTAGAAAATGACGATTTTCGTTTCAGAGCTACCTCTGACGCTCGTCGCCCGCGAAAAAGGTCTCCACCTGCGACGAGTCCTTTTGCGCTGCGACCTATGAGCCACTAAACACCCCCGAGCCCTGGTTGCTCAGACCTGCTATGTTCGCAGTTTGCGATCCTTAGCAATTGGGTTTCAATCTGGTTTCATGGCTTCATGTAGTAATTACGGTTTAGGGTTTAGGTCCCTCCAAGCAGGAAGCCTCGACCAAGACCTCCGACCTCCTGCATCGCGGCGCAGGAATCTGCATCAAAGCAAGAAAACTACCCTAAACCCTAAACCCCTAAACCCTAAACCCAAAGACCCTAATCCCTGAACTCCCGGCAGTGCCATCCTTTTCGCTGTTCCAGACCACCGCCGAGGCAGACGGTCATTACGTTTGGTGGCATCTTTTTCTTTCTGCACCATGGCTGCAGGGAGGTCCAACATCCTACGGCTAATTCCGTGAGCGTGGAGGGTGGTCTGGGGTCCGCAACCTGACGTGATTTGAAGACCTCGTCTTGCTAGTGTCTTTGCAACTTGTCGTCAGGGTTCATTGGGTCCTTGGAAGAATAGTCGCAGAAGCTGCTAGCTGCTATGCATCAGCACAGCTGCAAGCTTAAAGCATAGTCATAGTCAGTCCATCGAACAAAGGCTGTTTTAAAAGGGTGTACGGGTACGTGTGTATGGGTGTATGTTCTCATGTACGTATGTATGTATGTACGTATGTATGTATGTGTACTTGTGTACATGTGCGGATGCATGTATGTATGCATGTATGTCTGTATGTATTTATGCACAGAAACATGTATGTATGCACAGAAACAATCTTGGAGGTGGTTTGAGCACAAACCGCCATTGTTCCGATTGATTGTCTGAGACACATGTTTGTGAGTCATTACATGCAAAGTTACGTCTACATGTTACATATGTACTTGCTTTCTCTGCCTCACCCACACCCATACCCACACCTGCACCCACACCCACATGCACACGCACACCCACACCCACTCTCGCCAACCCCTATTGTCGAGCCCAGGAACGGCCTGTACAACGGCATCCCAGGGAAAGCAATCAGCTTCGGATACGTCCTGGATCCACATGGGCGTGCCCCCAGGCCTCAACAAAGCTCAGCGAGGTAAGGCGGCAAAGCACTGAACTTTAAGTCTTGCACCCGAAGGCCCTAGACTTCAACCCTCAACCGGAAACCCAGAATAGTTAATAGCAATGGTGTGAATAGTTGAATCAGCAATAGTAACTAGCATCCCTTAGACACTGCATGCATGTCGAGAGCTCCGGTAGCATAGGGCTCTTGAGCTCCAGTCTCCCCGTCATGGAGCATTGCCAAGCTAGACCCTAAACCCTAAACCGACAGGGCTGGAAAAGGGGCAATTGCACTTCAAAAAAAAACCGACCCTGTTGAATCTCGGACCATTCTGGGATGGAAGTCCTTTGGGGTCTGAAGGATACAGTAATCCCCATAAATATATCGTAAACCCCACAAAGTTGGAATTTAGGAGTGTTTAGGGTTAAGGGTTTTGGGGTTTAAAGGGATTGTGTACAGTAATCCCCATAAAGTTGGAAACCGGATTAAGGCCAAATTGCTGGGATTCCCCATACATTACTCTTAAGGATTGAGGCTATTGGGTTTCCAACTTTTTGGCTTCTACTGTAGGGGTTCTTCTAAGGATTTTGGGTTCAGCGTTTCTGGGGTCAGAGGTCAAGGATTCCTGTAAGGGCTCCTGTGAGGGCTCGCTTAGGGACCTTTTTTGGATCACGTCTGCAGCCAGCCAAAGCTCAGAATAGTATAATAGCCATATAGCCTGTCATGACTTGCACCGATGCATGCCTTCAGAAAGATCTGCATCGACGATCTACTACTAGAATTCATTAATATATGTAGCACCATGTAGTTTCCTTGGGTTTCATGCAGCCCTATTCTCAGAGTGATAAGCCAATATGCAGGTACAGCAAGCATGTTTATGTGTATGTCAAGAGAGACCTGCGTGAGCTCGTTTGTTTGTGTTCTGTCTTCACTTGGTTCGCGATAGTGTTTAAGTTTAAGTGTGCGCAGTCAGGCCTGTGTTCTTGCTGATGTCTGAAGCTCATCGTTGTGTTAGTTTAACGAGAATCGTCGCTCAGTTCCTTTCCCAACCAGCCCACAAGCTAAGCGTCACAGCGACCCACTGCAGCCGCGGTGGCAAACACTCCCAGCACCTCATGCAGAGACTCTAACATCTTTTTGACGAAGGGCCCCTTGTTTCTGGGGATCTCGATCTTAGTTGATCTTAGTTTAAGCAATTATCCGCATGAGGGTTTGGAGTTTGTGGTCATCGTACATCGGCGATCTCCAGCACAGCCGAAGCTGTGCTGCCTGCATCGGGTTGTACAGCTTTTTGATTGTTCGGGGAAACCAAGTCTTCAAGCGTAGGAGGTGCCGGTTTGTGAAATATGGGTCAGGAAGTGAGAAGTTTGAGGAACCACACACCTCGATCGAATTGATGTTAGGCTGGGCCTTTGTTGTGTTTACGGAGCCTTTTTGCAAAGCTCAATCTTCCAGGTAGAGAAACGCATGAGACATGAATCACTCAGGTTCAATTCACGGATTCCGCGCCCTACTATGGCTCCTGCGCTGGTTTAGGAGGTTCAGCTAGGATGCCCAGTAGTACCCTTATTCCCTTTTTGTAGTCCTAGGTTCCTTATAAAGTTACCCAATACCAAAAAGAGAGGCCTTTTTATTCTTAGGTTACTGGGTATCCTAGTCAGGCTTCTGGATTCAGAGCCTAGGCCCTGGGGATCTGATGTTTCGAGTTGTCGGGCTTAGGAGCAGGTCCTGTCACCGATTTGGAGTTTCAGATTCAATTCTCCCTAACCCTAAATCCTATAAACCCTAAACCCTATAAACCCTAAATCCTATAAACCCTAAACCCTATAAACCCTAAACCCTGTAAACCCTGAACCCTAAACCCGAAAAACCCTGTAAACCCTATACCCTAAACCCTACAAGCCCTAGACCCTAAACTCTATAAACCCTAAACCCCTGAACCCTATACACCCTGAACCCCAAACCCTATACATTCTATACCTAAACGCTAAAAACCCTATAATCCTATACCCTAAACCTTAAAAGCCTAATACCTAAACCCTATACACCCTATACCCTAAACCCTAAACCCTATATATAAGCCCTATACACCCTAAACCCTATAAGCCCTAAGAGGGCAACTTTGGGGCTGGAGCTCGGGGCTTTGGGGCCGAGGGGCGCTGGTCAGTCTTGGTCCCATCCGTCGATACCAGATTAGGGGTTTAGGGGTTCTTAAAGAGCTCCTTAAAGGGATCTATAAGGCTCCTTAGGGGTTTTTAGGGGGTTCCTTTAAGGGCTCCTTTAAGGATTGCTATAAGGGTTCTATAGGGGTTCTATAGGGGTTTAGGCGTTTAGGGTTTAGGGTTTAGGGTTTGGGGGTTTGGGGTGTAGGGTTTAGGGGTTTAGGGGCCGTCGATACCAGATCTAGGTAGGCCTTTGGGATATTTTTTATATTTTCCCTTATTGGGCTTAATAGGATTAAAGTAAAAGCCAGAAAGTTGGAATATGATTATCCTAACCCTTCTATGGTAAATTATAGGGTATCCTACCATGAAACCATATTCCAACTTTCTGGAGTTCCCTATAGGGGTTTAGGGGTTTAGAGGTTTGGGGGTGTAGGGTTTAGGGGTTTAGGGGATTAGGGGTTACAATAGGCTTACAGGTTTAGGGATTAGGGTTTAGGGGATTAGGGGTTAAGGGTTTAGGGGTTTAGGGCTTAGATTAAGGTCTCAAGATTCAGGTTCAGCGACGTACCCTACAGGCTTCCGGGATTGGAAGCCGCAGCCCTAAACTTTAACCCTGAATTGATTTACGGCTTCCCGTGTGGGCCAACAGAAGCAGAAAGCCCGTGCATCGGTGTGGTGTTGCGACGTTGGGTTTCGGCCCGCAACCTTGTCCTTTCCGGTTCCTAGGGTCTTGTGGGAAAGGGGTCTTGTGTGAAGTAGCATGAATATCTTCTGTCGCCCTGGACCATGTGCATTTCTGGTGGCAAGGTAGCATCCACTGTATAACTAAGCTAATCTTCACATCGCGCCCTGCTGTCTTGTTTTTAGCAGAGAGATCAGAGGCACTGCATGCTTCATGACTGGAACGGCCATGGGATTGAGGGGAGCCTGGCCGCCTGGCTTATCTTGTGGTTGTTCCCGCTTTGTTTGGATTGTGTAGCTGTGATAATCGGGCTGGCATGCAGTGGTGTGCATGTGGTAGCATGTTCGCATGCCCTTGTCTAAGCATGCACGCATGTATTCGTGAAACTGCTGTTGTATATGCAAGAACCTACGACCTACGAGATTACATGACATCTGCAAGTCTTCCTGCGCGTCCGTGATATAAGTGTCTTCACGTTCGCAAACGAAATGCGTTGTGTTGCTATTCGCGGCAATGCAACGAAAGGCCGAAGCATGGGAAGTATACTGCATTGCAGAGTATACCCTAAACCCAAAAGCTTGTCAGAGTGCAAAGTACACAGTGGACTTCGTGAGGATGCAATGGGCTGTGGTGTAGTGCCATATAGTACGATCGTGGCTTGTGGGACCTTGCGCAATGCAGGAAGCTAGCAGTTGCTTCGCATGGAAGCACATTCTTTGCACAGCTTGATGCAACTAGTTTACGTATCCACAGTGGTAGGCGATGTCCGTGTATCTATGCGAAAATATACTTGTACCTCCGGAATGTATGAGCAAGGTCTGCATCCAGGTGAGTATTCGCTCTCGTGTGTGTGTGTGTCTGTGTTTGCATGCGTGCACAGGCGTTTGTCTGCTTATGTGCATGTGATTAAGCACACGCGTAATTATGCACATAAGCCAGCGCGAAGCTCTGGCATAGTTGCATGTGGGCTGTGTGCGTTTGTGTTATTACGTTTATGCGTGGTACCTTCAGCTGTTCGTTCCGTCGGAAGTATGTTGGTGT